TCTATCTATCTATCTATCTATCTATCTATCTATCTATCTATCTATCTCTCTCTATCTCTCTATTTATCTATCTATGTGTATATATGTATACAAACAAAAATAAATAGACAGATAAACATTGAGTCCTTCATGGGCAGAGTTGGCAGAGATGTAAAGCACTCGGAGAGACTGTCCCTTCAAGGTGATGGAACTCGCCGAAGCACAGTTAATCGCGCGTCCTACGTGAGCCGAGACGATGAAGGCAACTCAGTCGCAGTTCAGTCGGCTCTTGACAGGACAGCTGCTTAGGGATCCTCATGCTGAGAGGGATGTGCAATTCTATCCTCAAGACACTCTGCAAATGATCATTTCTTGAAGAAAAGGGGGGAGGTGCCGTGGGCAAGCAGCTGAGGTGCTATGCGAAGATCCATCGCCAGTCGCAAGTCCTACAATGCTGGTTTCGAGGATAATGAAGGCAATCTGGAAGCAGAGACCTTTAGGTCACATCAAGCGAGGGTACAGTGGGGTACAGACGAGAGGTTTCCATAGGACTCTGACATAATGTAGACGGTTGATTGATAAGACCCCACATGTGGATAGTAACACCTCTCGGTATGGGCTTCTGTTGATCAACTGTTTTTGCATTAATTAGGTATTAGTTTGATAATTTCATGACATTCGTTTGGGGGCATTGGACGCATGCCGGAGAGTCGTGCTCTACAACTGTGAGAATGGTATCTTGGTCTAACATGATTCCAATTCGAGTTTGCTTTCCAGGTATCTTGAAGGCTACTAATATCCTGGCACCTACTACTAGTAGCAAGAAGCTACAAGGAACAAAGGGCATCGCTACTAGGAGCAAGGACGCTGCTAGTAGCTCGTGGCCACAATGCTTCATGGGTTCCGGGCCAGCAGACTCTGCTTGCGCAGTTTGCAGAAGAGTCCGAGTCGCCTCAGTCACGTCAGTTGAGGGCAGACACGGCAGGGATCCTGAAGAAACCATCCAATCTCTTGTGGTCAATGGGGAGACGGTGTAACCAAGAAAGTGAAGGTGATATGCGCATATCACCTTAGCTTTCTTGGTTACACCGTCTCCCCATTGGCCACAAGAGATTGGAAGGTTTCTTTGCCAGCCACAAGTCCTATGATGTTGGCTACGAGGGGGGTACTAGTAGCTTCTTGCTACTAGTATGGCCAGGAGCGCCCCGTTCGTCGCGTCCGATTCGCTCCGTTCGAGTCGCGATGCCCTTCGTTCCGTTGGTAGCATCCTTTCTTTCGAGTCTTTGACTCCCAGGGTCCGGCGGACCTTCACCCCAGGCGTCCGCCGCTCCACTCGCAGCTCCGCCATGGACGATTTCGGTACCTGGGCCGCAAAAGGCCACGTTCCGGATGGACGTCCAGCGGCCCGGAGGGACTTCCAGAGGTCAGGGAATGGTTGGAAAGAATTCCAGCTGGTGTCTTGGCACCACTTCCATGAGACTTATGATCCTTCATTCCTGAAGCTGTAAGTAGAGGAAGGCTCTGATTTCGCCTGCGCCTCACATGCACGCGGTCGAATGATCAGGAGATATTCGACAGAGCGTGGCGACGCGGAAGTCCTATGTGGACCCAGAAGAGGAAGGTGCGGTGCAGGACCCGGTCGTCAGGGCAGCTAAAGCAGCTGAGGGGGAAGAGCAAACAAGAGTGAAATGGTCTAGGAAGGTCGAGCAGAATGGCAGCGTGGATTAACTGCATTCCCTGGTTATATACGTAGATAGTGGATGGGCCCGATTTCGGATGACCCTGAAATCCTCGTATTAAACAGGTGGCTTTAACTCCACTTCCATGATGATTCCAGGGGAGTGTAGGTTCTCAAGTTTATGGTGCACCGTCCTTTTTTAGAGAGACGTGCCCACGGGCTAAGTCTGTCCACGATGGCAGATGGATTTGTATCGGTTTTGTCCCATGCCAAGTCAAAAACTGATCATTGGTTTCATAGGAAAAGGGGCGCATTGTTTTATTTTTATTTAGTTTTTAAATGTAATGTACAGCATATTTTCAGTGGTGGGGTCCACAAGATACGGATCACTCAGGTTCTAGGTGGCTGTCAGTGCTTAGGAACATGATTTTCCTTCTACTGGGGGTCTGTCAGTTTCTACGCTAGTGTGTTGGGTGGGTGAGTATTGTGTAGTATCGTGACATATTTTCTACAGAATTGGAGGCTTAAGCTTGTTGGTCTTGGAGTTGATGAACAAGATTGCGCACCAACTGCAAACCACCCAAACACTGGTTAACTACAGCCAGCGTAGGTTTTCCATGTTTTCCGGTTTCCATTTTTTGTGTCACCTGAGCTGCCGCCTCGCTTTCGGCAGACGCTCTCCCTCAACAGGTGATGTGCGCCGAAGCACGGTGAACCGGCTTTCGAGCGCCAGCCGCGAAGCAGAAAGTGGCTGGCATGAAGCATCGGAAGAGTGGGTCTGGTGTAGATTGGTGAGAAGACTCCGACGAAGACCTCCACCTTCCATGGACGAAGCTCCTGTGTTGTAAAGACATCCACTTCCATGTAGATAAGTGAGTCGGAGTGTGCCCTCACCCAAGGCTAAGACGGCTAAGAGTTAAAACGTCGTGTTGGCGGCTGAATAATGATCCCCCACAACATATCATGGAGGTGCTTGACCCTCCTGACTCTGAATCTCCAAGGGGGTTGAAAGAACTGGCCCGCACAGTTGGGAAAGCTCTAGGAAGTCATCAACCTTTCCAGTGTCAGAGAGGATCAATGAGTTATTTCATGCTTTCTCTCCTTGGCCTTTTGCGTGCTTTGCGTTGCGCAGACCGCGCACGGAACCAAGGTGGAAGTTTGAACCGCAGCTCCTACGGCCGAGAGGAGGAGAGCGACTTGGGATGCAGTCAGACGGTCACCCGGACGGGGCGCCTCTGGGCTGGACCTGGGTGTCCTATAGGGCCTAGGGCATTCCAGCCGGGTGACCCCTTCAACCATGCTGGTACTGTGGTTTTTGCTGTGACAGTGTTGGGGTCCGGCTCCGTACTCTTGTGGTCTTTTGAAATGTCTTGCAGTATGTCTTGCTACTGTTGTCCATCCGCAGTACGGTGTTCTGTTTCGTGAAGATGAAACGCCCCTTGCACAACACGTTGCCTTTTCTCCCAGTTGCCATTTCAAGCGGTCTTCCTTCCTAGGGCCCCCTCACCCTGGAGCTTTTCTTCGGCAATGTCCGTGGACCCATTGCAAAAGGAATCCTCTAGGAGATCAACAAAATCCATGTTCCAGGGGTTTTCAGGGTACTTTTCAGGGTAAAAAGGACCAACGTATGTATGAATATCCTATCAACACGAACCACCTACTTATTCTGGATATTTTTGGGTCACCCTTGGAATCCCCAGGATTACAGTCCATCTCTCAACACCAGTTCAGTCAAGGGAGGAAAGCCCCTGGCGTTGGAATCACCAAACGAAAACAAGCGTTCGAATCTTGCTTGGGACCGGATTGAAATTCATTTTTGAGCAAGCCAGAATGTCCAGGGGATCAAATGTCCCACAGAAAGTCCAAGGACCAGAGGAGTCAATGACAGTCGCTTTTGGGACCTGCTCTGACTTCAGTCATTAAAGTCACCTCCTCTGACTTCGATCCGTTTCTTCGACCCGTGGGCCTTTTTTGAGGTGCTCTGCGCCGGTCCGAGCTGCGTAGGTCCTATGAGGAAGGTGGCACCGTGGTGGTTCGTGCTGTTTTCGGAGTTGGCTCAGTTGAGTGGGAGATTTCAAGTGACGGTGTTCCCTGGGGGTTTTCAGAAGTTCTATGCCCAGGATTGTGCTTCTTTTGCTTTTTCCGAGAACATGATAGTGCCTCAGGAGTTACAATCTAGTACAAGTTTTCGTTCTTAAAATGGATGTCCATTGAAACACCGATGCCGGCGAAAGTCTTGCTGGTCACCGTTTTCCTTCTTCCGATCTCGATGGCTTGTCGTTGCTCTGCCATGTGCCAAGGAGTTCTCCATGTCTGAATTGGTGCGACGTGAAGCACACACACACAGCGCAGGACGACACGGGTTTTGTGCATCAAAGTCAGGTACGCAGCATCTCCAAAATGTGATCCCCCAAAGCAAACATAGGAAAATCTCCTCTTCAAAAGGAGCGGAAGCCATTCTATCTCTTTGAGCATCACGTTCTGTGGTACCATGTGGTACCCAAATAGAGCATTCCAATCCAATTTGTATAAGGAAGGGACTTACTGACTTACTTTTCTATGTCTTTTGAGATCACTGTGTAGGGATCGCTCCGAAAAACAGCTATGGAGGCGACGGGCTGCGCTCCTCCGTGGCCTATCCCCGCCCTTCAGATGCAGGCGAAAGGAGGGTCTGTGGTGTGGAGGAAGGCATCAAGGTGGTGGTCCCTTTTGCCAAAGGACAAAGCACAAACGTTGAAAGGTGATTTTGTTTTCCTAAGGGGCTTTGCACTGAAGCGTTTGCTGGGAAGGCCTTCGTGATGTGTGTTAACGAGAACAGAAAACACAAACTGCACTCACTCCTCCACCCAAACCGAATGGAATCTCTGGCTTGTTCTTTCGAAAGCAGACGTTTTGGACATGGACGTGTTTGTTTCCCAAAGTGCTTCCAGGGCATATGAGACCTGGTAATATCAAAAAAGAAGTCTTGGTGCAGGCGCATGAGCCAAAGCTTCACCTCCCCCCGCTGCCCTGTGAGGTGTACCACGCCTTTCGCGCCAGTCCGAGGGTGGTGTGGCACTTAGGGTGGTGTGGCACATGGATCGATCGATCGATCGCTCTAGGGGTCAGCTAACATCAACCATTGATTACATGGAGTAGATGGCACCTGGCGCCCCAAGAGGTCTTAGACAGATAGGGTCAGGTGTTTGCGGTTAGGTTGGTTTGGGACACCTGGGTCACTTGTAGTAAACACTGTTCGGCTTGTCTAGCTTTTCATTTAGTTCTATCAAACCTATCGGTAAAACCATTCTGCTGATCGACCTTCGTCGCCGGCCATTTTGGCAAGAGAATGAGCGATCGCCAGGAAGATCGTTTTCCTGTTTTTCGGGGCTGGGTGCTAGCGGGTTGGATCGAGAGAGCCATGGTTGATCAGCAGGTGCCTAGCAAGGCCATGCCAGCAGCGGTCAAGCCAAAGGCGAAACCTCCGCCAGCAGCTCTGCGAAGACAAATCTTCAATGCATCGGCTCGGTTGGGACGACGCTAGTTGAGTGAGTTCCTGGATTGGCTCAGTTCCGATTCCGAACCTTTCAAGTGTACCTGAACAGGCTCCTCAGTCAGCATGTGCTGGCCAGCAAACTGTTCAGGGCAAGAGCATTCCGCAGCAGGTGGAGTGCCTTTTCCTCCCCCGGAAGCACAGAGTATTGTTGATCACGCTCATGAGTTTCCTGCTTCTCGCAGATTGAGAAGACAGCAAGAGGCGGCTGCTCGCCGGTCGAAGAGCTTTTCCTTGGGGGCAGATGACTCCAGCAGATCTGGAAAGGAATCCTCTTAATGGCCAACTTCCTGGCCACTTGTCCCAGATTGGATCCAATGAAGGCGAACGCTCCATTCTGATCCTCGACAATCGAGACAAGCAGAGTGCAAAGCCCTTTTCAAGGATGGTTGATCGACGAGGTGCTGACCAACGCCCTCTCGTATGTCAACGTGAAATCCGATCGATCATCTGTGAGGACCGTCAACTGGTTACCACTTCACCATCTTCATGCATGGTGCGCATGCTCGATGGCGTGAAGGTGACCCTATGCGGATCCGCTACCTGCTATTCGAGCGTCCCATTTGCTCGGTGGGATGCCCTGACGGGTGAGGTGCTCAGCCATGCGGCATTTCAACCATTTCGATGGCCGCCTATGACCGAGTCGAGCTTGACCTGGGTCGACGTCAAAATCAAGTTGGAAGGACAGCTCCTCGTCCATCTTGAGCTCAGGGGGTATCGTTCAGACCATGATATGGCTATTCAGCTGTGGCAGACGCGATCCAGAATGATCCTGTCAGAGACAGTGTTGATGCCGTCCGTGGTAGTGACCGTCTTCCAGGGTTGGAGAGTCATCGCCTGCTCCTTTGAGGTAGGCGGTCGCCTGTACGCTTGCTCAGACGTCGTGGTGGCATTGGATTTTCCGCTATGCCACTTTGAGCGCCGCTTCGTGGCTAACGGGACCTCCCATTTTGGCCATCGCCGTGGAATCCAATTCGATGAACATGCACCTGGTCATCCGGAGTAAGCTTTTATATGGCATTTAACCCAGGCGCCAAGCAAATCACTAGATGCTTTCCAATTAAGAAGCTTCAGAAAGATTCTCAAAAGACCGCCTACTTTCATAGATCGGTCATGTACGAACCAAAAGATTCTTGAGGAAGCAACTGCCATTGCCTTCCCAACTCGTGGCGATAACGGACAAATTATACGTTTCAGTGATTACCATATGAACAGACGATGTAAATTACTTGGGCATATAATTAGAAGCAGTAATGATGACCCCACTACTAGCAAGGCACTTGTTACTAGAAGCGATGCACTTGTTTCTAGTAGCTTCTTGTTACT